ATGCGACAGGCAAAGCAAAACCATTTGACAGTATCAATAGGTTCAACTAGATCCAATAAATCCATAAAGAAGATATGAATCATCAAGTGTTGTTGGATAGGTTTGAAGAAGAAGACAAGAGAAAAATACTTCAAGTTACTTTTGATGGGCAATCAATCTTTTTTAATTCATACTTTAGTAATAGAAAGTTTGAGGCTGGTAACTCAACTTTCTTCTTGATTGACATATTTTTACATTATTTAAGCATCCTCATTTGTAATATCATCATGGAGTGTATTATAAACTCTGTGATGATCAGAAAATACTTAGTTTTCTCTAGCTTTTATTTTCTTCATGCTTGTTAGGTAGCAGAAGTTAGGTACTTCATTAGGATTAGTAAGGTAAGGCCTAGCCCCCCTTGCTTGTACTTGTCCCTATTGATATTTTTTATGTTTAATAAAAATAAAAAAAAATAAAGAAAAAAAATAAAAAAAAAAAAAAAAACAAAAAAAAAACTAAACAGTTGATCACCTTCATGAGTCTCTCTGCCAACAATTTTGCTATGATTTTGTAGACTCCCCCAATTAGGCTGATAGGTCTAAAGTCATTTAGCTCCATTGCTCCTACTTTCTTGGGGATCAATGCAACAAAGGTTGCATTAATGTTCTTCTAGAAAACCACCTTATCATGGAAGTTCTCTACCAGTGCTACCAAGTCTTCTTAGTGATTTCCCAACAGTGTTTCAAAGAAGCCATCTGGACCTGGGAACTTGTCCTCAGCACAAACTATGATGTTGTCCACGATCTCATGAGGCTCAAAGGGCGCCTTAAGGCATGTTGCCCTAGACCTTTGTCTTCAAGCAATCTCTTCTTTTCTAGCAATTCCTTCAAACTCAGCCATTCTTGCAGCTATATTATCTTCCCACTGAGACCTGTGATTTTGGATTTTCTTCAATTCTGCTAGTTAAGCCAGCACATGTTGTTTCTGAAGATCCAGATTCCCATGTATTGCCTTACTCCATAGCAAAATTTTCTCATGCAAGCAACATGATGTGGACGGTTAATGATTTTCATGCTTTTTGAAGAATTTGAGATTGCCTCCAAATGGTGATTTGAAATCTTACCTGAGACTTTATATCACATTCCAAACGCAAGCTATGTCAAAAGCTGCTATTCGGGCCGCGAAATCAGCCCGGCCCAAGAATGAATAGACACACACGGGCCGAGTTCATACCCTTCTAATTTTACCTGAACCTGTCCATCTCCCCCCCGTTTCCGTCTCTTTTCCGTCTTCTTCAGTTCCTTTTTGTCTCAGGCAAGGTAAGCTCACAAAACACAGGCTTTAAGCTCTTAGTTCTTCGTTTCTTTCCACAGAGAATATTGTTTTTTTTTTAGCTTTAAATAGTTCTTCTCGTTGATTTTCTGGTAAAATAAATAGTCCTTATAGTTTTGAGTTTCATAGACAATAATCACTTGTCTTGATTGAAATTAATGTCAATTTCTGATCAAGTTTTTGAATTTTAGATTTGGGTTTGACCAGGGCCGACTCAACAACAGTGGGGGCCTCAAACGAAACTTAAGAGAGGGGCCCTAATATTTAATTTTTTTCATCATATATACTTTTATTTAAAATTTACTTTTCTAGCTATTTTAGATGCGAAGTCATTAGGTACTATTTTATAATCAATTTGTTTTAATAATTCCTTTTCAAATGATAATATAGCTAATTCATTCAATCTCTCTTGAGACATTATATTGTTGATCTTAAAGAAGATTTAATCAATTTTTTATTTCGAAAAAACTTCTTTCGACTGAGGCAATGGTTACAAGAACTGTTAATATTATTCTATAAGCAATATATGTATTTGGAAAAGAATAAAGTCTTTTTATTAGAATGGAGATTTTCATTAGATCATTATCTTCTACTTGTATTGTTTCCCTTAACACTTTTAATTCAAAAAATAAATCAAGATCATCAATATCAGAATAACTATTACGTGTTAAAGAAAGTTCAAGGTTAAGACCATTTTTTTTTAATGAGATCATGTAGTGATCTCAATATTTTACCACTAAATAAGAAATCAAAAATATTTTCATATGCTTCAATTGGTTCAAATCTATTTTGAAGTGAAAAAATAGTTTGATCTACTTTACATATAATAAAACAATTAACTCTAAAAGATTCTTCAAGAGACTTTGTGATTTCGCTATGCATATTTTCATCAAATTGTTTCTTAGGAAATTCAGGTTTATTTTCATCTCATATGCAATTTTCTTAGTAGAAATCATAACACTCATAGTATATATAATTTTTTTTAAAATAACATATATAAGTAATTGTTTTTAAAAAATGGGGGCCCCAAGCGATAGGTTTAGTGGCCTAAGGGTTAAGACGGCCCTGGGTTTGACACACGAAAGGATTTTGTTTTTCATAATATATTCCAGAATTTAAAGAAACGTGATCAAGTTATAGAGGGATGGATTTAGTTGTGACGAAGTCACCAGGTATATTTTGGTTTCCTTATATGGGTGCTTTTTTATTTTCATGGAAAATATTGTATGGATGGCTGATGAACAATGTTTTGACAATGTGTAACTAGGTGTGATTGACTTGATTGAAATGTTTTGTTTTGCAGGGTGTAGACAGACGGAAGGGTATTTGGTAATGAATACTCGGGTTCAAGTGAAGATAGGTAAATTTTTGTTTGATCAATTCCGTATGGTGCTTTAACATGCTAAATTCCAATGTGAATTTATGAATTCCTGTTGTGTATGTCATGAACAATTGGTGTACCTGAAAACAAAAAAATAACTACAGACTCAATCTCAAATCAATTGAGGTTGGGTTTATGAATCCTCACTCAATCATGTGAATAATTTGTACTCCTGAAAACACCTAAAAAGAATAATTTGATTTAAACTGTATTAGTAAAGTTAATACGGAGAATGAATGTCTAGTACAGGAGCAAATTTCCAAAATGAGCCAATGAGGCCCTTAGCCAAGTGGTAACTTCTGTAAATGTATCCCCACTGCGTGAGAAATTATAAAAGAAAAAGTATGTTGAAATGGAAACATAAAATATACAGGAGAATTCCCTCCCTCTCTTCATCCTATGCACGTCACTCACTTGTGTATGTTTGTGTTTGCATGTCCTTTCGGGTGAGATTTCTTCTTTGTTTCCGCTGAATTCATGTTCATCTTTTTTTTTATTTCATCATTTTGTCTTAATGCAATAAGAAAACATAGTATTTAGATGATTTGTAGAAGAGTACAGAAAGGGGACTAATAATCCACGAACTACATGAATGAAAATAATTGTAACTAACTAGTGCTGTTAAATCACTTTAATAGGGGCCTAAAGGACCTATACATATCCAAAGAATTACCACAACAAGCTGTTGCCACTCATCTTGAAGGATTTCTCTGTTACCAAGAAAATCGTTTTGAAACTAATAACCTTACAAAGAAAAGATAATAACACAAAAGATCCACTTCCTGGCAGGAAAATAGATTCTGGTCTGCATTATTCACTTTGAATTCAGAAAAATACATTTTCTAATTTGAGTATAGTCTTTCTATTCTTGTAATATATATTTCTAGCATAAGTACAAAATTATCCATTTACAAAATGTGGTGAACTACTAAATAATTAATGGAGTAGGAACTTCCAGATTAGCTGGAGAAAACATTCAGGAGCGAGCTTCTCGATCTAATTAGGCTCCTGAATGCTCCTTCTAATCTCTTCTCAATGCTGTCAAGTTGAGCCTCAAAAGTCTCCACTTTTGTTTCCATGTTCGTAATGTTTTCTAGGCCTTCAAGTTCTATTCTTCCATTGTGTATCAGTTTTGAAACCAATGACCATTTTGGGTGCTTCGACTTAAAAAGTGGCATAGACAAGAAGGACAAGAGCATTTGGAAAATCAATATACAAACAGCATTGGCTTCCCTTAGTGCTCTAATCACAGCTATTGTCTCCTGATCTGTTTCCAAGAATGCTGCAGTGAGAGTCTCACAATCCACTTGCTTCAAGGACAAGACTAATTTTTTGGCATCCTTCTTCATTTTCTTGCTGAAACTGGTGAATCTTGCAATTCCAGCTTCTGCACTTGAATCTCCTTTTCGTCTTCTGAATGAGGATTGAAGAGCTCTTATGTTTTCCTTATACTGAGAGATGAGTTCCCCTGTAGTGCCACAAACATCAAGAATCCTAATCGAGTTCCCCAATAACTCCTCAAACCATTTAACATGTTGGCGTTGGGATATGATCTGAAAGGTTTGAGGCAATTGAAGAAGATCATCCGTGCACTTCTGTAACTCCTCCAACCCGAGCAAACTATTACAAATTGTCTCCGTTGTTGCTGTAACTGATGTCTCCAATCCATTGAGCTTATTCAGCACCTCTTCAACTCTCTGAGTTGTGGGGTGTGATCTGACGGGCAAACTAATTGATCGAAAGGGCTTGGTTTTTGAACAAGGAAGAGCAGCCATGGCTAGCTTTTTGTGTTTTACTTTTTTCTCTGTGAGAAGTGAGAATAAATTTGGTGAGCAATGAGCATCAACCAAAGGACATTTATATAGGTCGATGGCACAACAAGGGGGACGCTCAGCATGTGAATTGTAATGTGGCCATGTGGATATGCCTTTAAATTGGTAAAATGACACGCTTTTGGCAACCAAAGGCTCTAAATAATTGTCATTTATTAGCCTTCACTGTTTTGAAATTGAAAAGAGTTGTGTGACTTTGCTTTCATATGGGACTTCAGTTACAGGTCAGCTCCCTGCCAAATGTCAATGATGCCGGATGGCAATTAATAATATGCTTACCATGTGGCTCCCCTGATGCGGTATCAAATATTCAGCCACTATTCAATTTGGCACACGGTTGATGCGGCTCAATAATAAATGGTTAAAGTGTAGATTAGATGTGGTGTTAATTCAGAGTAAGGGGTATAATGAAAGAAGGTGGTATGACCGACAAGGTTGTAATGAAATAATTAGTACTCCTTCATTCTTAATTAAAAGGTCTCGAGTTCGAATTCCAGGTACGGAGTCGGCTTTGTAGGGAGCCTTTACCCCCAACGTGAGATTATGTGTGAATCCGAATTTAGTCGGACTCCAATATGGATATCGAACACTGGGCGGAAAAAAAAAGAAAAAGAAAGGTGTTTTAATAAATAAATAGCTGTGCATGAGGGGATTATTCTTCTTAGTTCTCCGAATCAAATTTAGTCGGACTCCAATATGAGTATTAAACCTCGGGCGGAAAATAAATAAAGAAGAAAAAAGAAGAAGAAAGGAGATGTTTTAATAAATAAATAGTTGTGCACGAGTGGCTTGTTCGTCTAATGCTCCCTGCCATCCATGCACAGCAGACTAAAGTGAGGTGGACCCTTATACAACACGTTTTAATTAATGCTCAATTGATCTTTACTTGCACCAAACACTTCTAATTTCCCCCTAATTATCAGTTAGAAATAGACTAGTCTCAGAGGTTACTGGTGGAGGATATACAAAGCTAGAGGTCGATAATAGCGAGTTCGGAGCCGAAAGGGCAAAAAAGTTGAGCAAAAATTCCAAAAGGGCAATAAAAAAAAACCTTCAAACCAAAAAAGCAACATTTAACCGGAAGGCTGCAGTAAAATTATTTTTGGTAAGGTGTAGCTTAACATGTGCTAACCGGAAGGCCGCCGTAAAATTGTTTGTGGTAAGGTGTAGCGTAACATGTGCCTTAGCGCAAGGCGGCTATCAGATAGGAAGGGCTGTGTCTAGCCTGCTTTCCTCGATCCAAGCCCGGTGAAAAAAAAAGCATAAGGATTGGGAACAGGTCGGCACGAAGTGATTCATCATGCTCAAACATGAGCCGATCGCGCAGCCATCTTATCCACTGAACTAGCTAGAAGCTATCGCTTCGGGTCGAAGCACTAAAAGAAAGGACCGGGAAACGCGGCGGCATAGGAACCACGGGACCCCCTGATACCCCCATCTAGCGACATCTTTGGTGGAGACTATCTAGCTTGGTTCAGAGAGCACTTTCTTGCGTACTTGACTTATAGGCTTGACGCCCATTTCCTCTAGGCTAGTTCATTCCCGCGTTCAAAAGGCAGAAAGGAATAGGCTAAGGCCCCTTGACTAGGTTGGAGCTATAAAGCTTACCTTATTTATTATTATTAAAAATGAGTCTTTTTCGGAAATTCTCGATAAGAAAGAAGGGGATATTCTTCAACAGGCACGCGGTCAGAGCCCTGGCTCCTCCGGTTCGAAAGGACCGGGCGGCGATGAAGTATGACTCTAAAACACTATATGCAGAGCTGCCTTAGCTCAATAGATCAACGAATCAGGAGATGGTTTCAATAGTATGGGAAATCGGGGGTCGAGTCTCGGGCAGTGGGGCCTGTCTTCTGTCCGGTTCTTGGGTCCGGTCGAGCCTCTTTGAAATTACATCCCTGCCTCTCGTCTAACTCGAGTTGCCCCGCTCCTTTGGCAGTTAAAGTTATCAAAAAGATGGACAATCAAACCTATTTCTCGAGTGGCGTACTTAGGTAATGAAATTCTCGACCAAACCGATCCCCTAACCCTCGGAGTCTCCGTCCGCTTCTTCTCCTTCTGGAGCCTCCTTGTAAGGCATACCTCAGGTGCGCCTTACAATTAAGATGTAGAGGTTGAGTTGTCTTTCTCATATAAACTAATTAATAGAACCCAAATATTAATTAGGGGCACAATATATTTTCACTTCTTTTCTTTTTACTAAAAGGGTGTGTATAATTGATATTATATTTACTTGTTTTGGTTGAAACCGTGATACTGTGACAGGTAATATAGGTATTTATGAAGTGAAATAATTTTTTTAAGAAATTATTTTTCTCATCGATTTAAGGCCATATATGTTGCACTAGAAAAATAATGATTTCATTAGGAAAACACAATATTCTCTACTAGGAGTGTTCACGATTTAGATAAAAGTCGATCCAAACTGATTAAACAAATTAATTTTATTTGAATTTGATTTGATTTTACATTTTTTTTAAATGATAATATTTGATTTGATTTTGATTTTGTTCAAAAAAAAAAGCCCGACAAAATAATCGAATTTCAATAAATGTGTTATCTTAATTATTTAATTAGGTATATACTTTTAATAGTGTTCATAAAACATTGTATATTAAGTTTATAATTTTACAGTATATAATTTGTCGATTTGGTTCGATCCAAACTACTTGTGTTTAGTAAAGTAGCCGTGTGTGCAATACATTTGTTGATCAAATCAAAGTAATTATGTGGATTTGCTTAATGTTGTCTCATTTTTCATGAGTTTCTGTTCCATTAATAAATTGGTACATGTCTTTCATAATTACACTCCAGGCTCGCACTTAATTAACGAGGAAACTTACTGCTGAAATTGATCGTCTTCTAAAATACTCTAAATGAATCAATACCCACATTCTAAATGAATCAGTACCCACATTGGAGCCCGATTAAATCAGAATTCGCGCCAGAAAGTTCCACATTGGGGTAAAGCGCTCCCTAACAAAGGCGACTCCGTATCCAAGGGGGCTCGAACCCGAGACCTCTTGGTTAAGAATGAAGGAATATTTTCCACTCCACCACAAGTTTCTAACTTTACGTAGATGTGGCTTATTAAGTTATTTTCAGACTAGTTTGTGCAGAAAAATGGTGAATTAACTTGGTCAATCAATTTTCTAGAAATACTGAAACACTTACTAGAAAATGCATGTTATTATAGGTTTTTTTTGTTGGAAATCCAAGCTCAAGCAAGTTTTTAAAGTTTTTTCAGGAAACTGGAAATTGTCTTTAAGTTATAACCCATGAGATACTTATCATAGTTGATTTGATTTTACAGATTGATGTTTCTTAGCTAGGTAATGGGAGAAGGGAGTCAGATAGAGTGAAAGAAACACGAATTTTGAGTAGTCTTTCAATTCGTGTAATATATATTTCTAGCATAAGTACAAAATTAATATCCATGTACAGTGTGGTGAACTATTATACAGTTAATGGAGTAGGAACTTCCAGATTAGCTGGAGAAAGCATTCAGGAGCGAGCTTCTTGATCTAATCAGGCTCCTAAATGCTCCTTCTAATCCCTTCTCAATGTCGTCAAGTTGAGCCTCAAAAGTCTCCACTTTTGTTTCCAAGATCGTACTGTTTTCTAGGCCTTCGTGTTCTGTTCTTCCGTTGTGTATCAGTTTTGAAACCAATGACCATTTTGGCTGCTTGGGCTTCAAAAGTGGCACAGACAACAAGGACAAGAGCATATGGAAAATCAAAATGCAAACTGCATTGGCTTCCCTTAGTGCTCTAATCACAGCTATTGTCTCCTGATCTGCTTCCAGGAATATTGTTGCGGTGAGAGTCTCACAATCCACTAATTGCTTCAAGGACAAGACTAATCTTTTGGCGTCCTTCTTCATTTTCTTGCTGAAACTGGTGAATCTTGCAATTCCAGCTTCTGCACTTGAATCTCCTTTTCGTCTTCTGAGTGAAGATTGAAGAGCTCTTACATTTTCCTTATACTGAGAGACGAATTCCTTTATAGTGCCACAAATATCAAGAATCCTAACCGAGTTTCCCAATAACTCCTCAAACCATTTAACATGTTGGCGTTGGGATATGATCCGAAAGGTTTGAGGCAATTTAAGAAGATCATCCGTGCACTTCTGTAACTCCTCCAACCCAAGCAAACTGTTACAAATTGTCTCCCATGTTGGTGCAACAACTGATGTCTCCAATCCATTATTAAGCTTATTCAGCACCTCTTCAACTCTCTGAGTTGTGGGGTGTGATCTGTTTGGCAAACTGATCGATCGAAAAGGCTTGGTTTTTGAACAAGCAAGAGCTGCCATGGCTTTTTATGTTTTTACTTTTAGTTTCTTTGTGTAAAGAGAAACTAAATTTGGTGAGCAATGAGCATCAACCAAGGACATTTATATAAGCACAAAAAGGGGGTCTACTACTCTGAGCATGTGATTGTAATTTGGCCATGTGGTTATGCCCTTTTAATGTGGTGAAGTGATATACATTTAGCAAACAAAGACTCTAATCAACTGTCTTTTAAAAAGAATTGTGTAACTTTGCCTTCATACGGGACTTCAGTTACAGGTCAGCTCCCTCCTGGCTGCCAAAAGTTGTGCCATTGCTACCGGATGACAATTAATAATATGTCTACCATGTGGCTCCAACGCGGTATTCAATTTGGCACACGAATACACGTTGGCTCAAGAACTTCGTGTTCAATAATAAATGGCTAAAGTGCAAATAAATGTGGTGCAAATTAAGGCGTATAATGAAAGAAGGTGATATGATTAATAAATAGTTGTGCACGAGTGGCTTGTTCTTCTAATGTTCCCTGCCATCCACAGCATACTAAAGTGAGGTAGACCCTTATACAACACGTTTTAATTAATGCTCAATTGATTGTTATTTGCACCAAACACTTTTAATTTTCCCCCTAATTATTGTTACTAGTGGAGGATATACAATGCTAAAGGTCGGTATAATTAGTGTTAAAAGAAAGATTGATTAATGGTTTGTTTGTATTATGCAAAAAAGATTATGGATAAATACCCCTTAAAATAAAAAGCCAATAAAGAGGGAGACGAATCTTGAGATTTCACAAATCAAAAAAGGAGATGAGAAGATAATGACGAATATAATTTAGTTTAGTGTGCCCGTTGTGTTGATACTTATTTCCTCCATGTTTTCTATCGAGAGAATCTCCAACTTAATGCTTATAATTATTGGTTCTATCATAAAAATCACTTTTTCACAAAACTAATAAACAACTCTCTTGGGCACATGCAGTGAAAATGATGAATAACATTAAGTAGACGTTTGGTCATGAGAATAAAAAAAAATTAAAAATAATTTTTATGTGAAAAATGTAAAAATTGAAGTTGTGTTTAATTATATTTTTTTTTGTAATAAATATCTCTTATATATGTGAAAGTTCTCTATGTATTTTTCTTAATCAATTACAATAATTTGTAATTATTTTATTGGTGATGTATTTTTATTTTGTCAGTAGAATTCTAAATCAAAATGTACAAACATTTATCATATAGTAGTTAATTTTCTTTCACAATATTTATAGGTTTCTTCGTCTATAGAGATTAATATCCCAATGGATATATAGTTAGGATATCTATTTCAACATGGTTGTATATTTGATTGTGTGGAAGATGTGATTAATATATTATTGTCTAGGATAAAAGCGAGTCACTTTCCTTTTTCACCCATCCGGACCTTGATTTTTTTCTCAAAAATTATGTTTAGCCCAGCTCCGCCACATTAAGAGTTTGCGCTAATTGCCATCTCTATACCCCATAAAGCGTTTTAGAGATAGTGGAAGCAAAGGCTGAATTTGTTGGTTTGAAAAAACATATTCTTATTGGTTTGATTTGCTTTATAGATTAAATTTTTTTGACATATTTGGTAAATGAAAAAAATAACCATCTAGGTACACTCTTCAGGGCCTTGGAACAACAAAGAATTAACTGATTGGTTCATCAAAGATAAAACCAAAGTATATATCTAAGTACATTGCCAGATTTTTGTTTGATAAAAATAGAAAAGAGAGAAGAAAAAAGGAGAGGCAGAGTTTGTGAGTATAACTATGATTTATATATGTATGTTTTTGTTGTATATGTGTAATTACAAAAAATGTTCCTTCACAAGGTTTTTCATAAGCATGTTCGGATGCTTATGCAATAATACAAATACAATACTACTACTATTTTCATTGGCAAGAGATAACATTTAGTAGTGTGCTCCTTGATCTGATCAAACATCTAAAGATATTGTCAAGACCACTCTCAATGCATTCAAAATGAGCTTCCACTGTTTCTAATTTGCTTTGCACAAACTGGATTTTCTCCATTTCATTAGGACCAGACTTGGAAAGGCTGCTTAATGCAACATCAACGCTTTCTATCTCATTCACATTGTCTTGATCTCCCTTGTTCACCAATCTTGAAACCAAAGACCATTTGCTAATTGGCTTAGATATTGGCGCTGACAAGAAATTCAACACCATTTGGAATACTGAAATTCCAATTGTGGCAACTTCTCTTAGGATTCTGATAACAGCTGAGACAAGTTGATCATCAATTTCCATTACATCAACAACTTCCTCATGATCCATTTTCTTTAAAGCTGTAACTAAGTTTTTGACATCTTTCTTCATCTTCTTCCTGAATGTGGTGTACTTGTTGATGCTCAAATCTTCTTTTCTCCTCCTCAGTGAAGACTGAACATCTTTAACATGTTCTTTAAACTGTGACATAAGGTCCCTTGTTGTGCCACAAATATCAAGAAATCTGACAGATTTATCCAAGATTTCATCAACCCATTTCTTATTTTGGCACTGGGAAAGGGCTTGAAGAGTCGAGGGCAAGTTTAGAAGATCACCCATACACTTATGCACCTCCCCAAAACCAACTAGACCATTATAAACAGCTTCTGCAGTTGGTGAAGCAGAGAATTCCCAAGTTTTAAGCTTGTTGAGCTCCTCTTCAATATTCTCAGTAACTGGATGTGATCTGCTTGGCAAACTGATGGATCTTTTATTGGATTTTGATGAAAAACTTGCCATTTTTTCTATGGACTTGGGACTTAAAGTTTGGGGATATGCATTTGAAACTGAATCCTATTTATACTAAAATTGTATAGAAAGCAACAAGAAACAGAGTACTCTGTTATTTGGACTGGCATGTGCCAAAAGAGAATGGGCATCGCTTATTGTGCCACTTTGCATTACCCTATTGCTTGTTAATCATAAAAGATGTACGTGGCTTCTTAATATTGTTTTGGTTGGAGGAGCCATAGTTTGTCAATGATCGGTAACAGCAAAGCTCCATTATTAAATTCAGATTAAGATCTGTTATTGCTTATTGAATATCTTTTTCAGAAACAACTTTAATAAAGTTAGATTACATATTGAAGGGATAAGGGAACTCTAGTGCTACTGTGGCAAAGGTGATACTACTACACGTATGGCTTGTTGGTTACCTACCTCACAAGAATACAGGATTACCCATAAAAATGTGATTACTAAATTTCTAAATGTAATTTTTAAAATATGACATAGTTAATCAACTGAGTTACTAAGATTTGATGGCGATATTCCTTATATGTTGCGGATTAATATGTGATTTTACTGTAGGCAGTCCATTAACCTAGTTGACCTGTCACATTATTTGTGCAACGAAAAACCAATAATTTGCTAATTATTTAATTTGTTCTAGTTATGAGATGGTATGACAAGATCATCTAGATGAAGCCACGTGTAAATACTAGGCTCCCTTCCTCCCGGGCATTGCGCCAGTTCAACCACCTCATGTGTTAGTTTTTAAAAAAAATATTTTTTTTCTACAATTTTGTCTTCTAGTACATTGATGTCTTAGCTGGAGGAGTGAAATTCTTTGAAACCAGAAGGAGACAACAATCAATATGATTATATTATATTATATTATATTAATCAACTGATCATAATGGAGATTAAGAATAATGAGACAAAATTTTAAATTGTGCACGAATGGAAATATGGATTTGTTTGTCCATGATAGTTAACTTAGCAATCCATATAAATATATTGTCTAACCTGGAGAGTACAATCCTCTTCTTTATAATATACTTATAAACTGCTTAGTTCCAAATTAACGCGTTATTATAAATGTATCCTCCCCCATTTTGTGATGGATTAACTCCTAACTAAGATCACTGATTTCTTCCTGATAATTTAATTTGATATTGTTAAAGACGGATTTTGATAATGGTTTATTTGTATCATTCAAAAAGATTATGGATGAATATTTTTAAAAAAAAATCAACAAATGTAGAGAAGAATAGGTAATAGGTTATAACTTATAAACATTTCAAGGATTTGAGATCTAATTAACCAGATGAAGAATCTCGTGATTATATTTCACTAATTAATAAATAGATTCAGTGGTTAAGAAAATAGAGACGAATAATACATATTTTAGTGCACGAGTGGCTTGTTGCATAGATGTTTCCTTGGTCCGTTTAAATACAGCTAATTTCTTTTTAAAAAAAAAACTAACATAATACCATCACTCATGAGATCATCATCTCCGCCATGTCTTTTATTTGCACTACTAAGATTAAGTGCGTAGGACATTTTAGAGGTAACCTTTATTACTTTCATCATTTCATTTTACGTGATTCATATGCTAAAAATTAATTTTACTTTTAACTTATCTACGTTAGCATATACCAATAGAGATTTCTTATTGCTTTTTCCAATATTATTAGTCAAACTTAGATTGAATCCCTCAAAAATGTCAAATTAACATGAGTCAAATTAACTTGTTCATTCAGGGAAGCATTTCATGGATTTAACCAAAGTATATATATCTAAGTTCCTTGCCAGATTGTTGTTGATGGTAACTTAGAAAGATAGACAAGAGAAAGACAGGCAGAGTTTGTGAGTATAACTAAGATTCCGTATATGTATAATTACAAAAAAATTCCTTTACAAGGTTTTCATAAACATGTCCTACAATACTCGGATGCTTATGATATACAATACTATTTTCATTGGCAAGAGACAACATTTAATAGTGTGCTTCTTGATCTGATCAAACATCTAAAGATGTTGTCAAGACCCTTCTCAATGCATTCAAAATGAGCTTCCACTCTTTCTAATTTGCTCTGCACAAATTGGATCTTTTCCATTTCATTAGGACCACACTTGGAAAGACTGCTTAATGCAGCATCAACACTTTCTATTTCATTTACAGTATTGCCTTGATCTACACCCTTGTTGACTAATCTTGAAACCAAAGACCATTTGCTAATTGGCTTAGAATTTGAGGCTGACAAATAATTCAACAACATTTGGTAAACTAAAATTCCCATTGTTGCAACTTCTCTTAGGACTCTGATAACAGCTGAGACAAGTTGATCATCAACTTCCATTACATCAACTACTTCCTCATGATCCATTCTTTTCAAAGCTGTAATCAAACTTTTGGCTTCTTTCTTCATCTTCTTCCTGAATGTGGTGTAGTTGTTGATGCTCAAATCTTCTTTTCTCCTCCTGAGTGAAGACTGAACATCTTTAACATTTTCCTTAAATTGCGATACGATCTCCCTTGTTGTGCTACATATATCAAGAAATCTCACAGATTTATCCAAGATTTCATCGACCCATTTCTTGTTTTGGCACTGAGAAAGGGATTGAAGTGTGA